TAAAGCTGAGATGCTGTTTCTGAAAAGTGGAGACATTTGCGAGCAAGTCCGAGTGGTAGTATCAACAGAAGTAATCGATGATAATGGTATTTCATACTCCTCGCATGCATTCATGTTTCAAATCCATTCAAATAATTCAAGAAACAAAAAAATCGAAAAAAAAGGTGAGCAAAATATAAGCTTACCCAGGAACGAGGAAACTTGTCATCAGTACGTTCGTCTTCCATGCCAGACCATTCATTGCTAGAATTCAAATGCATTGACACCTAATTCTATTCAGAACTTCAAAAACTCTTTTATAAATAACCGCTGACAAAAATTTCATAGCATCATCGATGTTCTCGAGGCGGAAGGACCGTGCCCGTTTTCTTAATACCAGTGTGCAGAAGGCAATGACGGACGGATACGAAACGTGATCACGGATGAAAGCAGAAGAACACTGGTAGTGATGATGAAAGCAGAGATACCAGGGAGGCTTGGAGTGTCTTTTCCTAACTATACAAGCGCTGAATTTCCACCAGAAGATCACTGTAATTTCGGTGACTATGACTTATTAGTCAGATATGTCTTTTCAGTTATTTCGCCAACTCATAAAACAACAAGCAAACTTACTTTTGTAAAGCCTTGCCGATACATATCCAGCAACGACACCAAGTAGAACATAGAATACAAGTGCAAATGTCATTAGAGATCCACGATTTGCCGGTGAAAGGAAGCCCAGGCACGCGAATACTGTAAAAAGCAGACAAAATCGAAACAGAAAATTTCGTTATAGAAATAGAATTCCAGAAAAAAGATGAAAAAATATAGTGAAGGAAATAAAAGAAGATATGGGGAATACAAAAAAACTGTACTTTATTGAAATTTAACAGAGTGAAATCAAGAGGAAAGATGGCCTGAATTTATTTGGAGCGTAAGAAAATGTACCAAAAAAGACGGTTCCATTTTTTTACGTCTGCATTTTTGCTGTGCTTTTGGATCCATCACGTTTCGCAACACGAGCGATCCAAAGAAGTAGCATTGAAAGAGAAATACGAAATCAAAAACTACTTTGAAAAAAAAATTTCTTACCAAGCGTGATGGCAACCATGAAGAGCACCTGACATCCACTACCAACGAATACAGACAGGAACATCGCATGGCGCGGTGGACGAAATACATCACCGTGTACCAATTTCCAGCCAAATTCTTCTTGTGCATCTTCCTGAAGCTATTTCCAAGTGTTTCCGCCTTTCACGAGAGATGAATTATGAATGGAGAGAAAAAGCGGGAGAGGGGTGAGGGGGAAAGGAGGAGAGGAGAAGGTGGTTTTCCTTCTTTTACCAGAATCGCAAAATAGCTTTTACAGTTTTCCACCACTGTTGTGACCGAAGCCTCACCACCCTGTGGTCA